GTTTTGGAGGTAGAATTTAAGACCAGGGCTGGGTTTCGGATTAGCTTTGAGTTTTAGAGACAGCGTGCAAAGCCAGGGTTGGGTCTTAGGGTCAGTACTGGATTGTAAGGTCTGATATTAAGTCCAGGGTGAGGTTTTAGGGCCCAAATCTAAGCCCAGGGTTGGATTTTAGGGTTAGATAAGGTTGGATTTAAGGCCAGGGTTGGGTTTTGGAGGTAGAATTTAAGACCAGGGCTGGGTTTCGAGTAGGGTTTGAGTTTTAGGGACAGCATGCAAAGCCATGGTTGGGTCTTAGGGTCAGTGCTGGATTGTAAGATCTGATATTAAGGCCAGGGTGAGGTTTTAGGGCCCAAATCTAAGCCCAGGGTTGGATTTTAGGGTCAGCTAAGGTTGGATTTAAGGCCAGGGTTGGGTTTTTAGGGTCATGATTTAAGGCTGGGGTCACGTTTGGGGTTGGGTTTTAAGGCCAAATAAATCCAGGCTCCAGCTTTAGGATCACAGCTGTGTTTTAAGGCCGCGGTCAGGTTTCATGGGCAGAACTTGAGGCCGAGATCAAGTTTGACCTTCAGTTCTTCCAGCACAGTCTGACCTTGATCTCATCCTCCCTTTTCACCCTACAGGGAAGATGGGGAACTGGAGGAGGGCGAGCTGGAGGATGATGGTGCTGAGGAAACCCCGGAGCCACGGCCCACACGGAGCCGCAGGGAGAAGGGAGAGCGGCACGGCAGCGACTCGGATGGGGAGCGGTCGCATCGGCGCGGCAAGAGAAAACGGCGTAAGGAGCGTGAGAAGGAGAAGAGGAGAGCCAAAAAGAAGAGGAAATCCAAGCACAAGGTGAGCAGGGCCTCAGAAATGCCCTTCAGTGGGTCTCCGCGTCTTCGAAAACGCTCTTGGTGGGTTCCTGTGTCTAAAAAAATGCCATTCGTGGGTCCCTGTGTCTTCAGAATCGCCTTTTGTGGGTCTCTACGTCTTTAAAAATGCCCTTTCCAGGTCTCCACATCCTCAAAAATGAGTTTCATTGGTCCATGCGTCTCCAAAAACGCCCTTTGTGGGTTCCTGTGCCTTCGAAAATGGCATTCATGGGTCCCTAAATCTTCAAAAATGCCTTTTGTGGGTCCCTACATCTTCAAAAATGCCCTTTCCAGGTCTCCACATCCTCAAAAATGAGTTTTGTTGGTCTATGCATCTTCAAAAACGCCCTTTGTGGGTTCCTGTGCCTTCAAAAATGGCATTCATGGGTCCCTACATCTTCAAAAATGCACTTTTTAGGTCTCCACATCCTCAAAAATGAGCTTCATTGGTCCCCAAGTCTTCAAAAATGCCCTTTGTTGGGTTCCTGTGTCTTCAGAAATGCCCTTCATGGGTCCCTACATCTTCAAAAATGCCTTTTGTGGGTCCCTGAGTCTTCAAAGTGCCCTTCATGGGTCCCTACATCTACAAAAATGCCCTTCCTAGATCTCCACATCCTCAGAAATGAGCTTCATTGGTCCCCAAGTCTTCAAAAACGCCCTTTGTTGGGTTCCTGTGCCTTCAAAAATGCCCTTCATGGGTCCCTACACCTTCAAAAATGCCCTTTATTGGCCCCTGTGTCATCAAAAACGCCCTTTGTGGGTCCCTACATCTTCAAAAATGCCCTTCATGGGTTCCTACATCTTCAAAAATGCCTTTTGTGGGTCTCTGAGTCTTCAAAGTGCCCTTCATGGGTCCCTACATCTTCAAAAATGCCCTTCATGGGTCCCTACATCTTCAAAAAGGCCTTTTGTGGGTCCCTGAGTCTTCAAAAATGCCGTTTATGGGTCCCTACATCTTCAAAAAAGCTCTTTCTAGATCTTCACATCCTCAGAAATGAGCTTCGTTGGTCCCTAAGTCTTCAGAAACGCCCTTTGTTGGGTTCCTGTGCCTTCAGAAATGCCCTTCATGGGTCCCTACATCTTCAGAAATGCCCTTCATGGGTCCCTACATGTTCAGACATGCCTTTTGTGGGTCCCTACATCTTCAAAAATGCCCTTCATGGGTCCCTACACCTTCAAAAATGCCCTTTATTGGCCCCTGTGTCATCAAAAATGCCCTTTGTGGGTCCCTTTGTTCTCAAGAATGCTCTTTACGGTCCTTAAATCTTCTAAAATGCCCTTCATGGGTCCCTACATCTTCAAAAATGCCCTTTATGGACCCTAAATCTTCAAAAATGCCCTTTAGGGACCCTAAATCTTCAAAAATGATGTTCCTTACTCCTGACATCCTAAAAAATTCCCTTTTACGGACCTTAAGTCTTCAAAAATGCTCCTTGTGCATCTCTCCAAAATGAAGTTTGGGATGAATAAAATTGTAATTCCTCAAACAAAACGCGGTTGAAGGGAATGGGAGATATTTCCTCCGATGAAGATTTGATGTAAGGAGAACTGGGGTCCTAAAAAACCCAAAGTTTCCTATAAAAACTCCTCAAAAACCCCACGATGGGGGCTGATGTGTGGTTCTCTCACAGCGACACGCCTCGTCCAGTGATGATTTCTCAGATGACAGCGATGACTCCGACTTCAGCCCTGGAGAGAAGGGGGGGCACCGCCGGTACCGGGACTACAGCCCCCCCTACGTCCCCGTGAGTACTGGGAGAATGGTGTGCAGGCCTCAAAAATGGGGAAATTGGGGGATTTTGTCATTAAAAGGGTTTCAGAGCTGTTCCCAATGGGATCTCAGCAGAGCTCCCAGTGGGATCCCAAAACTGCTCCCATTGGGATCTCACCACCGTTCCCAATGGGGCTTTCAACACCATTCCCAATGGGATCCCAGCACTGTTCCCATTGGGATTCCATCACCACTCCCATTGGGATCCCAGCACAGTTCCCAATGGGGTCTCACATTCATTCCCAATTGGATCCCAGTCCCATTCCCAATTGGATCCCACTACCATTACCAATGGGATCCCACTACCATTCCCAATGGGATCCCATCATGATTCCCATTGGGATCCCACCACTGCTCCCAATGGGATCCCACCACCGTTCCCAATGGGATCCCATCATTGTTCCCAATGGGATCCCACCACCGTTCCCAATAGGATCCCACCATCGTTCCCAATGGGATCCCATCATCATTCCCAATGGGATCCCACCACCATTCCCAATGGGATCCCACCACTGCTCCCATTGAGATCCCAATGGGATCCCACCACTGTTGCCAATGGGATCCCACCACTGCTCCCAATGGGATCCCACCACTGCTTCCATTGAGATCCCAATGGGATCCCACCGCCGTTCCCAATGGGATTCCATCACCGTTCCCAATGGGATCCCACCACCATTCCCAATGGGATTCCATCATCGTTCCCAATGGGATCCCACCACCATTCCCAATGGGATCCCACCACCGTTCCCAATAGGATCCCATCATCGTTCCCAATGGGATCCCATCATTGTTCCCAATGGGATCCCACCACCGTTCCCAATAGGATCCCATCATCGTTCCCAGTGGGATCCCAGCCCAGTTCCCTGCAGGACCCCAGCCCCATTCCCATTCTTCCTCTTCCCCCACAGCCCCAC